CTCTCTCTCTCTCTCTCTGTCCCTCTCTTTCTCTCTCTCTCTCTCTCTGTCCCTCTCTTTCTCCATCTCCCCCTCTCCATCTCTCTCTCTCCCTCTCCCTGTCACCTCTCACTCCTCACGGAGCTGCAGGCGGTAGCGACTGTAGCGGATCTGGAAGAAGAGCCTCTCCAGCGGCGAGCGGCTCATCCCGGGGAGCCTGTAGTCCTCGCTCTGGCCCGTTCGACGGAAGCCCAGTGACTCGTACAGCTTGTGGGCGGCCAGCTTGACTGCCGTCGTGCCGAGCACAATGGCGGCGTAGTTGTTGCGCACCGCGAACTCCAGGACACGACGACCAAGGGCCTTGGCAATGCCTTTGCCGCGGTAGCGAGAGTCCACCGACATGCGTCGCAGCTCGACAGTGTTTTCATCCTCGCGGCCCTGTGCTGCCACGATGCCAACCACACGTCCGTCCAACACTGCCACCCAGAAACAGGAGCCTGACGGAAACAAAGACATGATACGTTGATCAAATTAGTTTTGGTTTGCAGGAGCTGGGAGTCACAAAGGCTGTAGTTAAAACTTAGTTCAGGGAAAGTTTGGACTTTTTGGTATGAGAAGCCAGAGCTCGATTAGCGTAGCTCAGCATAAAGACTTAAAGGTCACAAAGTCGTTATCTGCCCCCAAATCATTGTAATAACAGATTTATCTCACTTGTAGAACGAGAGATTTGATTTAACTGACATGTCGAATGTGTTTATTTGTGGACTTTGGAGAGACACCCACGCTTTAAATTTTTATATCTGATTCCATCACAAAGAATTTTCTTAAAATATGCTTCATCTCTGGATTTAAAAACCTGATAATAAGGAATGAAATGAACGTCCTGTGTTTCCATTATCAGTGAGTGTCAGCGTGTTGTAAATGCTGAGCCAACAGAAGATGCAGCGAGTAGAGGGAACGAGGAGACCAGAGACTGACTGGTGTTTAATGGCATTAGCCACCGAGGCGCTGCTGATCACTGGGCGCTCACAGTGTAGTGGAGCAGACACTCAGATCTCAGAGAGAGTCGAGGAAAACAAGTTGTTTTTTGGAGGGGGGGGGGGGAGTAAATAAATTCTCCACAATTACGTGATCGCATTACAAGAATTTAAATCTTATTTTGTCATGGGAGCTCCATAGACAGCACTGCAGTTCATACTGTGTCAGGAACTTGCTGCAGCGCATCAGACAATCACACAGACAGACAGACAGACAAGGTTAGACCAATATAGATTAAAATGTCAGCAGACAATGCTCCTCCACCAAAGTACAGAGCTGCAATATCAACCCATTTTAATGTCAGTCTAAAGCTGCAGTTTCTAAGTTTTTCACTTTATTTTCACTCATCATACTTCAGTAAGATAAATAACTTCTTAACCCTGGATTTCTCTTAATGGCTGTTCGCTTTCTTTGTGCGTCAATTCACGGAAACACCTTTGGTTCCTTTCGGTTCAGATTCAGAGAGAGAAAACGTCTCCCGAGAGAGAAAGATTTGAATCACCAGAGTGTTTCAAATCTCAGTAGACAATGTCATGGGTCATCTTGCCTTTGTCTTTTTTTAAATAGCATAGTGACGCCTGTCTTTTTTACGTAACCTTCCATCAATGTCCACTGTATTTAGCGAATAGATGTGTGCGGCAGTACTAAAGTAAATGTGACTGCGGACGAGCAAAACTTTGTGTCTGTCTGTCCTTGAGCTCTGAATCCTAATGCTTTCTCTCTGTCCTTACCCTCTCTCTTTCTTTTTCAAATAACTGCTTCTCTCCTTTATTTCTGCTGAATCTCACTGTCACACACATGCACACACATCCAGTCACACTAACATCATGCTTCTGCTGGATTCCTCGCATGTTAGATGGAATTTCATGCCCCTGTAGGCTTGAATTAAGCTGATCTGACTCGAGGCTTCTGTTTACTGAATCAAACAACTGTTATTTGCGGGATGCCGCAGCAACAGGAAAGCCTGAGTTACTCCCTTTCCCACCAGTGAGCCACCACTGTTTCACTAATCTGCTGCGGTTTGATTTTTTTCATTATATGCTAGAATACACAGTCGCAGTTTCACCTTCTCTCAGGAAATGAAAGAACGTCGTGTTTGCTCTGTCTCTGAAGAGATGTAGGTCAGATTGTTGGCGTCAGTTTCTAATTTCATTGGTTAATTTCTACATAATGAAAAACCTTGAGCCAAAGTCAGCAAACAACCACGTCCCGCTGCTGTCTGAGGCCTAAGTGCCAAAGTGTCAAGTTGATCATGCAAAGCTCTGGCGGATGAGCATTAAAGAGATCGTCTGTGCGATTTGTAAAGTTGTAAGTGTCTGGGAGCCTAAGCCAATACAATGGAGTGACGTTTCTTTATAGGCAGATGTCAAAGTGGTGGTGTCGACTCATGTGGCGCTCTGCCGGCATTATGATACTCGTGCATGTGTTTGTGTTGGAGGTGTAGAAGGGAAAGGGGGGGGGCACGCCTCCATAAAGCCCTCCTGACCATCTGTCTGAACGGAGGCTGTGCCAGGAATGAGGACAGCACGCCAGCCACCCCTCTGCCTCTCTGCTCGTCAGACTGTGAGTTACTTAACACAGTGTCTCTAAAAGAATAATGGCATCTACCTCCGATTCAAAAGTCCCCTTTAATTCGATAAAGCTGCACCGAGCTACACACACTCAAATCCCTAAATTCGCCTGATTTATTTGATCAAGATCCAGAATTTGATGGGTCCTCTCTTGTCCTGAACTTCCACCAAGTTTCGTGGAAATCTGTTCAGTACTTTTTGCGTAATCCTGTTCACAAACAAACTCCAAGGAACTTCACATCAGCCGCATCCAATACTGACACTACTGAACTGCAATGATTTAGAGAGACAAAGCTATTTCTACTGTGAGCTGCGATTCCTGAGACATAGGAAGAAGGAGAGAGACATGGAAAGGGAGACAGGAATATTTTAGCTCAAGAAAAGAGGAAAGACATGATGTTATGCTCCATTTATATAAACTAGAGATGCTCCAGATTCTCTACTCTGCACATCTGCAAATGAAATTTCACCGCTGATACAAAATAAAAGGTACAACTACTGTTGCATATGTGCATAGATTCTTTTAGGTAATCCCTTAGTTTAGAGAAAGCGACGTTCCTGCTCTCCTCCTTCCCTGAACAGCCTTTGTAAAGCCTCTCTTGGGCAAGGCACTTAACTGTGATCTTCAGCGAGGCTGTGTGGGCCACTCAGTAATATGAAGTGGGTTTATTAAGGGATTGCAGCCGTGCTAGAGGCAAGGGGCTGGGAGTGGTAATATCAGTCTCCCAGTTGGTCCAAGACTTTGATACAGGTTGAAATATCTCAACAGTTATTGCATGGACGGCTGTGAAAATGCATATCGATGTTTATGGTCTCCAGAGGAAGAAGCCTACTAAACTTTAATGATCCACTGAATTTACCTTCAGCCTGAACAGCAGGTAACTCCTCATCTGAAATGCTGTCAATGCACTTTCGGGATGGTTGAAATTGCTTTTCGTCCTCCCTCTATCTGCCTTCACTCGTTTCTGCCGAATACTTCAGATAAAAACTCATTGAGGAGCAGGATCAGCACAGAGTAGTAACACAGTGTTTTGATGTGTATATGAGAGGCCTGAAAGTCTGACGAATGTCCGAAAAAAATGATAAAAACTAGAAGAGAACATAACAATGAAGAAGAAAAAGTCATTCGTCTGTCGTCTCTGGAAGAAAGAGTGAGAGGAGGAGGAGCAGGAGGAGGAGGAGGAGGAGGAGGAGGAGGAGGAGGCGTCTGTGTTACCAGTAGTAGTGATGAGACTGAAAGGATCCATTATTGCTGCTCGGGCATTCAAACGCAAGAGGGGGAGGAGGGGAGGACGGCAAATCTATCATTATTACCGAGGGGGAGGGGACCTGGACAATACAAATCTCAAGACAAGAAAATACAGTCAATCAAGACGAGGGTGAGGAGGAAGAGCTTTGAGCTCTGGAAATCATCGGGAATGATTCTCACTCACTGCGAGAGAAAATCAGATTAGTGTACTCTTCATCTAATTCCTCTAACTACTTCATAAGGATATTAATAAGTGTGAGATACTAGGCTGATGTTGTGATATGAACCCTGTATGAAAAGAGACTCAGACTGGAACAGTTGAACTCACAGGAGCACATACTTGCGTCTAACGAGATTATTCTCTTTTCCTGCAGATGAAACCTGGGGGGCTAATTCGGTTGATAGGCGTTCAGTCTAGACACCGCCTCACCGCGCTGCCGCTCACTCCTCTGTCAGCCAAACATTACTCCGCAGCTCTGTGGGCGTCAGACCTCATGTAAGCTGCTTGACTCGATTCTCGATCGAATTCTTACTAATTGTTTGCGTTCTAAAAACCAAACATAGACTGTTGCATCACTGTATGATTAAATGGCAGGAAGGCATGGCTGCTGTTTTTGACCTCAATGTTTTCTGTCCGTAGTTTGTTTATCTGTCAGCAGAACGGGAAAAACAATTTATGGATCTCCACAAAACTCGGTTTAACGATCAGACATGACGGGGCCAAGACAGAACCCATTTCATTTTAGCCCAAATAAAAACAAAAGGAAATTGCAAGTTGGGGCATTTCATCAGTTTCCCTGGGAATGATTCCTGTATGTTGATGTTTAGGGGACGGATTTCTGCCAGTGTGTGTGATTAGGCCTTTGGTAAACTCGACCCACAAGTGTGACCACTCCCATAGTATGTCTTCTATAATATAAAACGCATAAAGAAGACATGTTAACATTTACAAAAACTTTTATTTTCTACTTTATCGTGTGACTTTTCCCTGTAACTGAGAAAAGTGCTGCTTGGTCTATTCTAAAAGGTCACACACAACCTCTTTAAATTCCACACTGACACACACACAGACACACCGTTCTCCTCAGATCAGAGTGCATGCTGGGAGTATGCAGTGACCTGTCATGCATAACCAACACATCAGCAGCTTCTTCAAATGAGGGTGAAAGGAGGTGACCTTCCCACACAAGACATGCTTTACAGTGCCGTTAAACAAAAATGAATAATTCATGTGTATTTATAAAAAAGAAGCCTTCGCCATTAACTTGGCTTTAAAGCCCAACACGGCCCTGATGCATTGACCTGTGTGTTACTGTGCGTGTGTGTGTGTGTGTGTATACAGTACACACTTCACAGAGACACACACTGCCACAGCTCGTCTTGTTCTCTCTTATGTTTCCATTAGCTCGGAGGAACTCATTATCTGGCCCTTTACTGTTGGTTTTACTGCCTTCCTGTCCATCAATGTGTCCACACATGTTGTTTGTATGCACACAGGTACATGTCCACATTTGACACACATTCTACCCTTTACTGTGCACATGCCATTGTTCTCGTGGCTACTACGACCAGAGCTCACTTGCCCTGAGTCCCTGGGGTCAAAGGTCATCGGGGTGTTCTTCACACTGACATAAAAAGTGTGACTGCAGCCCCTTTAATATTAATCAAATTATATATTTTGAAGCTGATTCTGCTGAAATCTATTGATCTATCGACGACACAACTGATCACCCACCATCGATAACAGGCGTTAAAAACACTTATCAGTCGCAATCAAACGTCGTGATCGGTCACCGGAGAATCAGCAGCGAGAAAATTGCACAGCGCTGCAGTTAACGATGCTGTTGCCGCACCCCCCCCCCCCCTCGTCATCTGCTCTTTCCAATGAGTGCCTTTGTTCAGTATTGATTTAAGCAGAACGTGAAGCAGAGGCCGAGGCCAGTGAGATTACAATACATTATTAATGAGCGGCTCCACTTCCTCACAACACGCAACAGACAACAGATACACATGTTCACGTACTTGCAGAGCAAAGCAAAGACAATGGTGCAGTGAAGGCTCCACTTTCCCCACTATGAACTGACCGGGACAGTCAGACACTCATGTGCAGGACAACATGGTGGTCGTCCATCTTTCCTCTATGTTTCTCACTAGTGAGCTCATTCATGAGACTTTAAGACTTTAGTCATACATACTTTGTTCTGCTAAAATGCAGAACCTGTTCATCTGTTGGTTAGTTTGTAAGTAAGATGACACAGGGCTCGGTTTTGTCTCTTTCTTGAGCATTGCAAGACAAGCCCTTTGTCAACAGTCAGGAAGTCATTTCCTGACTTCCTGACTTCCACTCTATTTCTCTCTATTTTTTTTATCTACAGCAAAAAATATGCTTGTCACTAATTGGTAATAAATTACTCTTATTCTTTTTTTTGAAGATTCCGAAGGCTGTTTCTTTGGCTGGGAGGAAGCATCGCTTCCTGTATGATTGATGGACAACCCAGCTGGCCACTGCAGTGATGAGAGGGAGAGGAAGAGGAGGAGGAGGAGGAGGAGGAGGACCAGTACAGGTAGGAAAAAAAAAAAGCTCAGCCGACAACAAAAGGGAGGAATAGGGGAGGAGAGGATAGATGGACGGATGGCTTGTTTAATCTGAGGTGATTTAGCTGACGAGCCTGAAATATACTCCATGGAACCCTCGTACCAGCGCACTCTTGATTTCTCTTTCACATAAACATAAAGTATATCTTGTAGTTGAGAAGCACCCCCCTCCCTTTCTCCTTCCGATGCCCCCATTTCATGTAGCGTGCACCTCCTTCCCTCCCTTCACACATTTCCCCTCTACACATTTCCCCTCTACCCCCCTTCTCTCTCTGTCTGTTCCCCTCTTTCTGTCATTCAGAGCTAAAATAAGCACAGCAGGTAGCGGTACAGGAAGCCGCTCTCTCCCCTGGAGCAGAGCTCAGACTTGTCTAAAACACACACACACACACACACACACACACACACACACACACACACACACACACACACACACACACATATACACACACACACACAAACATACTCTGCGGTACTGACCAGCAGGTATTATAAAGTCTCCTGCCTTGATGAGACCCTGCAGTGGTGATGACGCCTCATTAAACATCCAGCGTCGCTGAACTGATATCACTTCCAGCCAGGGAGGGTTCGGCTCATTGTCCGATGCCGCACTCATTATATTATATCCACTTTTTAAGCTTTAAGCTGCTGCACAGCGACCTACAGTGATTGAGCAAGGAACGAATTAAAGGCAAAGAGTAAGTCATCCACCTCCTGGGAAACATGCTTTCTGCGTTTACTGTCATTTTCCTTTTTCCGAAAAGCTTTTAATCATCCTTTGCTCAATGAGACTAAATATGCGTCACAGCGACGGTAGTTCCATTCATTTCCTATGAAGAGAGACAAGTGAACTACCATGTGAGCACAGCCAGATGAGATAAGCCCTGACGTGAACCCAGCTCAAACACGGAGCTGGTGTTTGTTGTGTTGTTGCCAAAGTTTATTTTTATATTTCTGTGACACGGTAAACCTAAAGAAGGCTAAATGAACAGTGTTAGAAACATTTTAATGTTTTTTTAGTGTCTCTCTATCAAGACGAACAAAAGATCTAGTCTGATTATGTCGTTAAGCAGTGTGGGATCATGGGAGTTGCTGATGAAAATCTACCTGGCCCGACTCAGGCACATAACCTGTTCATGGATGAGGTCATGTATTGAAGTTACACTCAGGTTACGGAGCATTGTTGGATCATTTTGGATAATGTAGGTGCACTAGTCAACAAACTATATAACATCATCATCTCCACATGGTTTCTAGCTGGGCTGTTTTTGAACGCTTTTGATTTTTAACACCACATTAAAAATATGTATCATGCCAATGCTTGGTATCTTTGTTATGTGAGTCTTTTTATTTTGTTTTGTTAAGACGTCACGCCAACGCACAACAACTCCTGAGAGGTCAATTGTAGTTTCTGTAAATCATGAAGTTACCTCCCTATGAACTTGAATTAGACATAATCACAAAGGTAAAAGTTCAAGCTCCACATTTGAATTTGACTTTTGCAGTGTAGCCGTAAGTTTTTGTTCAGGCTTGTTCCTGTGCTGCCGCTCAAAACTGATTTCCCATTACTTCCAGGTCAGTTCAGTGTAACTCATCAATCTTGTCTGCTTATTTTGAGGAAACATGTCTTGTCTCTCTTGTCTGATTCCTGCACCCTGGTATCTGATGACACATCCACATAGATTAATCTTCTGGTGCGGGACCACAAAAGGATTAGATAAATGCAGAACAAGGAATTAGGGTCAGCTGCTCATGCATAAAAGCTTATGGACAAATAATTTCAGTCTTTTTTATGAGGATGAAATATCCCTGAGTCTTTTGTCTTCATTTTCTCTGTCCCTCTCAGTGATTGAAGTGCAGCTGTTAACACACCAATGGAGGACGTATTGATCTCCAGATTGACTCTTTATTGGTTTTTCGCTTCCAACTAGATTCATGCCAGCAGATGTCGTATGGTAATTGCATCAATTTGAATTTGTTATTGAGATGTTTGAGTCAAATAATGATCTTGATCCTTCCAAAATGATTTTCAGCTTGAGTTCAGCTTGACTTGAAAAATCTGAATGCTAAATTTAAATTTCAAATGATTTAATTTCAAATTAAATATATGTATAAATACACAACTCCAGCTGCTTTCATATGATGGAAACAAGCTGTTGATCCTTTTTTTCCTTGCACGACCGAACCATCTACATTTTCACTCCCAGCCATTGTTCCATGAGGTTTCTTTACAACCCCTCCACCTACGTGAGCTCATTTATTGTGGGGCAAATGAAAAAGGTGACAGCTGGCCTTAAGTGGCAGCAGAGTGAGTGATCACATCACACACAGGAGATGAGAGTATTGATTTGTGTAGCTGTGTACAGTCAGTCAGTCAGTTAGTTAATCTGCTTCTATTTCCTGAGCAGTCTGTGGTCAGTCAGAGTCGACTGATTAGACTTCATACATAAAACTGTTCATGACTCGACGCTGACAAAATCCAGCTTTGAAAACTTGGTTCCAAATCTTATATCTGTAACATGAAATATTCATGACGAACAACAAACAACATTAAAGTTACTGTTTGGAAATATTTAAAAAAAAAACATTTACTCAGACTTTAGCAGTCAAAAACTCTGATGTTGACATTTGCAAAACTGTTTTTAGATCAGACTCTCATTAAAATGTTGCTGACATCTGATTGGTGCAGTGATTGGTCCGGCTGAGCCCCACCCACTTCAAGCCAGAGAGGACAGAAACTCTCATAACCCAAACTGCTCGAAACCAGTTCAACACCAAGTGTTGCGTCCTGTACACATTCGCTCTCGGCTTCGTGGCTTCCTGTACACACACACGTCACTCGCTAAAACAAACGACCATAATGTCTGACGTGCGTCCCGATCAGGTCTTCGTGTTGGTGCCCAGGTGTTGGGCCCACTGGGCCCAGTCAGTTTGCGTGGATATAATCATTAGCATTGTCCAGGAGCAGTGGTGCCTGACCCCCTCTAAACCATCATGGCCCTGCAGCAATAATGGGAATGCTAAATTGCAATTGTGTATGCAGCGGATTACCAGGACAGAGGGCACAATGTCAGAGAGAACGAGACAATGGGGGGGCAATTGACTGGCTTAACTAACACCAGCTTTTTATGTTGCCCATGTGGTTTGGGTTAAAAGGGGATGTATGTGTGCGGGAAGTTACAGGGCAGGGGGGTGTACAAAGGTGTCATGTGTCTGTAGTTAACCATCATATTCCTCAAACCCAGAAGTGATTGAGTCTTGAGTGAAATGAATCGTCCCGGGCCACGCTAGGGGCGGATTGATTTTTCCGATCGGGAGCTAGAGAGGAGGTAATGAGCCAACGCCGGGGCCTGCTGCAGAAAGTGTATCAGCAGTTTCCTGATCAATTGCTCTGTGATGCACCCCCACCCCTGTGAGCAGAGAGGAAGCAAGTGGGGGAAGGAAGGGAGAGAGAGAGAGAGACAGGGAGGAGTGGTGGAAGAGGAGGAATGTGGAGACATGGCAGGCATATTTGATGAGCTGCCCCTGCAATGCCTGAAGACCCAGCCACATGTAAGTTTCTTCAAATTAAAGTTAGCAAACAATTCATATAACTTGTTAACTTTAACTTGAAGAAACCTCATTGACTTGTGTGTTACCAGTTGAAGTAATTTCTTAAGTTGGTCCCACAATTTCCTTTTCTCAGTGAGGTTATTTAAGAGGGTTTGATTCTTCTTGCTGCAGCAACATTAAGACCTAAACTTTTCTACATTTGAATCGTGTCTTTATCATCATTTACCTTTGTTCATTTTTTAAATCAACTCTGGTGGTGGAGCATTGTCAAACGACAACATGTATTCATCCCATCATGCACACTATAGTGAGAGCATCTTTCTCCCACGTCTTACCTGAGGGTTTCATGTAATAATCCTCTATGTCAGCCATGTCCGTGTGCAGAGCACAGTCCAGATAACTCTGAATAACTTTCTTGCTGTAGTAGTAGCGCGCACCCATGAGAATGAGGGGCACACAGAAGGTCAGCGTGACCGATTTGGTCACGAAAAAGCACATTACTATGGAGAAATGGAAGAAAAATAAACGAAACCTGTCAGAAGAGAGAATCACATGTTTGATTTTGGCGGAATTCGACCCCACACACACACACACACACACACACACACACACACACACACACACACACACACACACACACACACACTCACACAGAGACACAAAAAGCAGATTCAACAAAACATTTTTAAGCATCAATGTTTGAAACAGATTTTGTCATAATGTGAACACTTTGGTAAAGAGAGATCAGGATTAGTTTCACACAGGTAACATTCATCATAGTGTGAGTGGAGCTGCAGGACCACACACTTTGACGGCATCAGACTTTTCCATAGAAAGATTGTGCTCCTGGTGGATTCATGTGCGTCCATGTTGTTAGTAATTAGTCGGATGTGACGCTGGGGGGCGCATAAGGAAACTCAAGTCAGGCTGGGTGCTGCATAGCATGTTGCTGCGTGGCATGCACTAACCTACAATAGTTGTTTGACTCCAAATCACGCCAGCGTGGTGTGAGACATCAGCGCTAGAATGTGGAGGGGTGATGACTCCTCTCTGTTCAGAGATGGTCACAGGCAGGGCCGACGTGTCTGT